TGTTCCAGAAAATCATATATATTTCTGCTGTATACGAAAAGTAGTTTTAATCCACAAAACCGTTCTATTTGTAAATCATTGTTCTGTGTTTATATTCTGTAAAAGTGAGTGTGCCTGGCTCCACCAACTGTTATTGTAAACTGTACTGTAAAATGTATTTCTGTAAGCTAGTACTTTGAAAATGTACTCATGTTTAGTTAATTATACACTAACCATATTGTTAACATCTTTTTAATGAGTTATTATAACCATACTGAGACTAGATGGCCTGAAACAACGCTTTGAAGGCGTTAAAAACTGTTGATAACAACTGTCACTCGTAGGCGTGTATGCCTGACTATAGCTAGTAGTCCGAGTGCGGGGTTGTCAATCCCAATATAGATCTATATACACTTGTTTCGATCCCCGATGGGAGATTCTAGTTACAATATCAGGACTTTAACTATGTTGTTTAAATGAATAAACAACCTGAATCAAATGACTCATAAAAAAAGCATATAGACGGTACGTGTATAGTATAAGTGAAAACCCAATCATTCTGAAATAATGACTGATTGTATATTCCTGAATTAGTATTCTTAACATGTATTTGAAAGCTGTATACCCTTGATTAGTTTTGAATTAAACCTTTATTTCTTGTAAAACGGTGTATTCTAGTATAATTGAATCGTGAATTAATGTTCTATGTATCATAAATTATACCTATTATAATTTATATGTACTTTCTGAATTGGGACTAACTGCTCATGAATGTAACCCCTTGCTCAACATGTTACAAAGGGTATTTAAACTGAATGAAATAACTTTTATATTCATATACATATACAATTATATATAAGTATGATTTAAACGACATTCAGATAAATAACTGATACTATAAGCCCACATCCAAACAAGGAAATGGACCCAAAGTGAGTTATCAGTCCTAAACCTTTTAAATCTTATATATATATATATATATATATATATATATATATATATATATATATATATATATATATATATTTTTATATATATATATATATATATATATATATATATATATATGATTTTTGGGAAAAATATAAGTTTATAAAAGAGTTTAATATTTTGAAATACTTTTAATGACTTGATGTCATTTTATCACAATTTGAAATCATTTGTTTGTAACACAAAAATCCTTGTGTTAGACTTGTATTCCCCCCCCCCCCCCTTAAAACTGTAAAAACTATGAAAATACGGGGGGTATGAACTCACTTGATATGTGGTGATTTGGACATCGTTTCGTTTCTGGGAAGGAGTTTACTTGATGAAAAACCGGGCTTTACACAAGCAGAGTTTTGACTAGAGAAAGTTGTTTTTCTCGTGAATCTCGGGGCTTCGAGGGGTTGTAAGTAGGTTTGTGGGAGTGAAAGAGGTGAAAAGTATGAAAAAATATTGTAAAAAGGGAATGATAACCGGAGAATATCGCAGGTATATATAGGACCAAAGGCTCAGATCCGAAGGGGAGGAGGAGGCTCGCATCGGACAGGTGGCGAGGAGGGGCAGCTTCGGGTGCGAGGCGCGTCGGCTTCTCACTGGGCCGCGATTTCGGTCGAATCAGAAGCAGACACGTGGTGGACACGAGGCAACCTCGCATGCGAGACGACGTGGCCGAACCTCAGCCATGCGAAATTTCCCGGTTGCCAATATTTTTCGATTTTTGTGCCCAAAACTTGCGAAATTCATAACTTTCGCATACGAGCTCCGTTTGACGTTCGTTATATGCACGCGTAGGTGAGATTATACTCTACAACTTTCATTTAGACTTTGTCGGCTAATTTTGACTTTATTTTTAATATTATTATTTTTAACAGACCGGGACAGGAAAATCCGTTAAAAATTCATAACTTCTTCATCCGACGTCCGTTTTTGTCTGTCTTTTTACCGTTGTACTACTATTGACGAGACATTCAATTCTCGTTTAGGTTGTGTCGGCTAAAAATCACTCCATCTTTATGTCGAGTTTTTAGCTGTATACTGCTATACTGCAACTTAGAAAAATCATAACTTCCTCATACGAAGTCAGATTTTGACGTTCTTTTTATGAAAGTTCTCGATTTAACATATTCTATAACTTTCATTTAAATTTTTAAGGCTAAAAAGCCTTTTATTGAAAACTCACTATTTACACTGAACAGTGTTTTGCCGGTTTTGTCGCGGATCTTCGATTGGTCATAACTTCTTCGTTATAACTCGGATTTTAGTGTTCTTTATATTTTTGGAAACCTTGTTAAAATCTATACCACTTTGTTCATCCCAATCGAGATTATTTAATACTTCATTTTTGAGGGTCGATTATGTAAATGTACATAGTATGCTAAAATTTCTCTTTATTATTTTAAAAAGAACTACAAATTGATTTATACTATTACATAAATTTGAAGTAACGGTTTGTTACAAAACAACACATACATAATCGAAATACAAACAAAAAACAACTAACACCTTTAATAACCTCTAAGTCTATAACATAAAAGAAAAACATACATTAACTATTCGACATCAACTTTATATATTTCCTTCGTGGGGTATGAAAACTTTATCCATGATCATTATTCACACCTAAGTCACATTGTTTTACACCCAAGATCTAAAAATTCAACAACAAAGGTAGCATAAATGGCAACCATATTTATGTGAAAACTATAAGACACCTTACTTATACATGACAATAAGACTGGTTACAATGAAAGATGGAAGATCAAAGGCTACCGTTGAACGACCAAATACAACTTGTAACCGTAGTCTATCGAAGAGCCTCTTACAATCGAACGACACGTCGGGAAATAAAGGTTCCTTAGAGGTTGTTATTGCCAAATAGAGCTTCATTAGGCTTGCCATGTGGCCTTCAAATGCGCTCTTTGCAATAAATCAACAAAAATCTTCTTAAGTTATACCAGGTGAATGCCCGCACGTTACGCAGAAACACCTATATAGTTGAAATCATTACAAATATATGTTTTTTTTAAATATAACGATTACGTTGTTGTTAAATTTGATATAATAATTCGTATACTAAATTGATAGAATATATTGATTATTTTGGATTATATGATAATATATACATCTATTATAATTGTATAATCTCAACCGTTTGAATGACTTCTACCCGCGAGTTACTCATGAATAAAATTAAATATAATATATGGCTTAATGTTATTTATAGTTTTTGTTATTGTTAATTTATTTTTTAAAATTTATTTTCTTAACGTTTTAATTTCTATCATTATAATTATTTAAAACATCAGACATTGTTTTTTGATTTTAAAGATAACAATATAATCATTTATATAGAGTTATTTTTAAATATTGTTATTGTAAGTTATTTTAAACTATTTGATTGAAAACTTTTACCGATTATACAAATATCTTTAGGAAATATTTTATTTAAATTGAGATTATAATTTAGTTTTTGCATTTAGCACTACAATTTATCACTTTTAACTATTCACAAAATATTCATTAGGTTTTTTAAGTGGAACTGAAATTTATATTTAAGTTGACACTGTAATGTTATATTTAAATTAACAGTTTAAGTATTTTGTCCAAACTGTTCAAAAGTTGTGGCTTTAAATTGATAATGGTTTACATACAACAACATATTAAATCCAATAAATTATGTATAATATGTTAAAAGTTAAAGACATAACTTTATAAGTAGAAGTAAATATATTATTTTAATATTGAAATTTAGTTTATTTATGATTACACTTTAGGTTTGATATTTATTTAACTTTATTAACCAAATTATAATCATTATTAGAAAGACACTACAATTTATCACTTTTAACTATTTACAAAATATTATTTGGGTTGTTTAAGTTAAACTAAAATTTATATTTAAGTTGGTCTTGTAATGTTATATTTAAGTTTATAATTTAAATATTTTATACAAATTGTTTAAAAGTTGTAGCTTTAAAATGATAATGGTTTACATCCAACAATATATTAAAACTAATAAATTAAGTATAATATGTAAAAAGTTAAAAAAAAATAACTTTATAAGTAGAAGTAAATATATTCTTTTAATATTGAAATTTAGTTTATATATGATTACATTTTAGGTTTGATATTTATTTAATCTTATTAACCAACTTATAATCATTATTAGAAAGAAATTAAAAAGTCATGGGAGTTTCAAATGAATGTGGTGAAATGAAAAATGCATTAGAGTTTCAAATAAATGTGGTGAAAGAAAAAATGTTTCTTTTATAATATAATATGATGATATGATATGATAGTTATAGAGTATAGATTTGTAGTAGCAGCCATGGATGGGTGGTGGTGGTGGTAGATGGCAGTTGCAGGGGAAGAAAATCATTACCCTAAAATGATACTTGTTCTACCAAGTTTTTGCTTGATTATATTGATATTTTGTATGTTGGACGTTAGCAAAAGTAAATAAAAAAAAAATTCACTAGAGGGAAAAGTGGTAGGGGACGATTGACATGAAGGGAATACGCGAAGATGAATATATATGGTTGGTCCATGTAAAAATCATATCAAATATTAACCATAATAAAGAAATAAGAATAAATTTATCTTTAGTCTTAAAGATGATCCTTAAACAATGTTGATAAGAGGGATAATTATCGTAACAATTAAGTTCGAGGAACGAATAGAGTTATAACTGAAATAAATGGACTTATTCAAAAAAGTGCAAAACCACAAGGACGAAGTTTGTAATTTACTCTTTTTACTATTATTATTATGTAGAATTACAAAGTGTAGGAGGATATTAAGAAATCCAATATCTTATCCTTTTGCTACTTCTCTGGCTCTCTCTCAAGTATCAACCAGGCAACCTCTCCAAAAACCACCAACACAAAACATAAAAATAAAAAACAAAATAATAAGGAAGAAAAAAGAAACAAAGTGAAAATGGCAGCGATTTTTCTCTCGAATCCAAGCACCTTCCTCCCATCATCGTCATCATCTTCTTCAGCCTCACACAAACAAGCATCGAGGGGAACCAGTGTATGCAAACCAGTGAGTAAATTACCAAATTGTCCTCCTCAAATCTCTAAGAGAAGCCTATCCATAAGCCTCACTTCCCTTTTCCTCTTGTCCTTAACTGGAAATCCCAATGGTGCCAATGCAGCCATTTTAGAGCCTGATGATGATTTGGAACTCATGGAGAGAATCAAGAAAGACAGAAAGAAGCGGATTGAAAAACAAACCGTACTTAATTCAACCAAAGACAGAGGTTAGTTTCGTCATTTACCCTTTTACTAATTTTGTTCTTCTTTAAATGAGAAAATTTCATAACTTGATTAAGCAAAGTAGTAAGTATTCTCACCAAAAATATAATCAAATGCCTTAAATGTGCTTGGATTATATCTAAAGAAAAATTAATTAATATCCTCCTATTTTTTCTTATTACAAAATGTCCTAAAATATTATTGGAAAAATAAAATTAGACTAGTGTTATGGTTTTGCTATGATTTTAAATCAGTAAGAAAGAACAATAGGAGTATATTTGATTTCTCATATCGAAATATATGATATCATATGAATCATAACAAGTTACTTATTTATCTAACAAAGTCATATCATAACAAAATGAATTTCTTATCATATTTACTTTGTCACCAATTTATCAATCATTTGTAAAACTAAAGTAAATTAATTCGTAAGTCGGAGACAATATGGAACAGGTGCATATATTCGCAATAATATAACACAAGGATTGTATAAATTGGTTGAAAAAAAACGTAACTTTGTTGCATAAATAATTAGTAACCCATCGATAATGTTACAACAAAGGGTAAATGAGTAATTTTGTACAATATTGGGATTTGTGCAGAATATTTACAAGATGTTATTTACAAGCTTAGCAAAGTAGGCCAAGCCATCGAGAACAATGATCTCCCGTCTGCTGGTTCAGTCCTTGGTCAAACCCCTGATGCAGACTGGCTCAAGATGGCCAATGAAGCCCTCTCAAAGGTCCTTATTTTTTCTCCTTCTAATCTCTCTGCTTTATAGGGTTGTACATTGTGCTTTCCTAAATGTACTAACTCTATCCAAAAGGACAGGTATATAAACCATAGAATATATATCATATTACCATAGAATACACATACTGTGTTTTGACTTTCATGTAAGGTACATACAAAACAAGTTAGTACATTATTTAAACATTCACGTGAGGTATAGACAAAACAGTTTGTACTCTCAAAACACAGTACAGTGAGGTATAGACAAAACAGTTTGTACTCTCAAAACACAGTACAACCTGTTTTGTTTTGTTGGTACAAAACAAACCACCAACAAAACAAAACAGGTTGTATTGTGTTTTGACTTTCTTATGGGGTATAGATAAAACAGGTTAAACTGTGTTTTGACTTTCATGTGTGGTATACGGTATACCGACAAAACAAAACAAGTTGTATTGTGTTTCAACTTTCATGTAGGGTATAGACAAAACAGTTTGTACTGCCAAAACACAGTACAACATGTTTAGTTTTGTCGGTGTCAAAACACTGACAAAACAAAACTGTGTTTTGACTTTTATGTGGGGAATACCGACAAAACAAAACAGGTTGTACTGTGTTTTGACCTTCACGTCTATTAAACAGGGACGGGGAGACTGATGTCTATAGGATAAAAAAAAATAATTCTTTTGTAGTAACTGAAAATATGGAATAATTTGGGACAAAGATTCAATTTTATGTCTGTGTAAAAGACGTAAATACCCTTATTATCCTCTTAATAAAAAACAGCCTTAAAAACTGTATGGGAAATGTTGTGGTTGATGTTTGGTTTTGTACAGTTGAGTTCGAGCCCTGAGGAGATGTCTGAGGTGGATGCATTCAACTCGTCGTTGACTTCTTTGTATTCATCAGGTACTATTGAGAATTTTACTTGTAGAGTACAACTACTAATGCGTAAAAGTTACTATTTGAGATTATATGCATTGAATACTTGTTTTTTTTTTGTTGTAGTAACAAAGAATGACATAGAAGCATCGAAATCAGCTTTTGTGGACTCCGCAAGTGCATTTGAGAAGTGGACAACATTGACTGGTTTGGTTGGACAGCTAAAAGGCCTTTGAGCATATTTAGGCTCCTTCCTTTTTTTTTTTTTTTTTTTTTGGTTTTCTAATTTAGGGTTCATATGATATGAGAAGCAATTTGCTTTGCATGAATTAAATTCTTCCTTTCATTTTCATAAACCCCCAATTCAATCTTTGATTGTTATGAGATCAAATTAAAATATCTTTTATGCTTTCAAACATACCTTTTTCAAAGCTTTGATAATTCACTGGAATCTATATAATTTACATCTTATACGAATCATGATGCTCTATATTTATCACAAAAAAAATACTTAAAACACAAAAAACACAAAAAAGGAAAGCAATTTGCAACGATTATCAAACACAAATGGTGATAGAACACATGAATGTTTGTGCAATAAAACAAGGGAAATGCAAAAGTTAAAAGCTCATAAAAGAGTTTGCCTATTACATAACGATGATACAGGCATTAACATGACCTCTGTAACCTAGAATAATATAAGCCTATAGACACACAACAAAGACCACAACAAACCATAATAGATGACTACTTTGTTGACGGATTTACCCCCAACAAATGTCACTTCACTTGTGTCTCTTTGATGTTGCTAAAGTTAAAGTTTTTCATGACTCCTAATTAAATCCTATCACAGAATAAGATTTTCACCAAAAGAAAGATGATAAACAAACAACACTAACTTAGAGAACAGGCGGCACCACCACCACCACTGCCGCCGCCACTACAATCACCGGTCACTCTATCTTTATCTCCTCCCATGAAGGATTCTCCTCCGCCACCGGACAACCATTCTCAGCTGCACCACCACCACCGCCTGCTTCCACTTTAGTCGCCGGAACAGCATCCTTGACCACCGGTTCTGGTTCTTCATTGGCGGGCTTGGTTGCGTTCTCCGGCGGGGGCGTTTTAGGGTTTTCAAGTGCTTCTTCATTGACCTCTTTTGCAGGCTCATCCACCAGGGTCATTTCCGGGTTTTCACACTCGTTGACATCTTCTGGTTTGGTTACTTCTTCCGAGGGCATTTTTGGTATTTCAGACACTTCTTCAACAACCTCTTTTACGGGCTCAGTTTCCCCGTTCTTGGTTTCAGCAGCTTTCAATTCATCCGGTTTGATTACTTCCTCCAAGGGCAATTTTGGTATTTCAGAAACTTCCTCACTGACCTCTTTGACCGACTCATCCGGTTTGATTACTTCCTCCGAGGGCAATTTTGGTATTTCACAAACTTCCTCATTGACTTCTTTGACCGACTCACCTTCCAAATTTTTGGTTTCTGCAGCTTTCGGCTCCTGCTGTTCTTCTGGCTTAGTTACTTCCTCCAAGGGCAGTTTTGGTATTTCACACATTTCTTCATCCACCGCTTTTACAGTCTCAACTGCCACTTCCTCTGACAGGGGCATTTCTGGTATTTCACACTTCCCATCGCCCTCTTCTTTTGGTTTCTCATCTTCTTCTCCCTTCATATCGACATCTTTTACAGGCTCAGCCACTTCATCTGCCAGGGGCATTTCTGGGATTTCAATTTTCTCATCATCTTTCTCAATCTTTTCAGAATCCTTCATTTCAACATCTTCTTCTTCTTTCTTGCCTTTCTTGGAAGATGTTGACTTTCTGGGGCGTTTGTTGACCGGTTCAGGATCTGGTGGTGGAGTTGACTTTTCTTTCTCACTGATTCTTGAAGACCTTCTTGGAGTCTCACCACTTCTCCAATCAAACTCAGAAATCTTGGGCCCACCAGGGTGTGATTTCAGGTACTGTTTCAGTTGCTTTGTGTTCTTGATCTCTTCCCCTGTTGGTGAAGTGAACACAACTGCATTCTTATTTGGTGTTCCTCCTTTCGTTAGTGAAAACTACACATTAAACCATGTGTCAGATGTCTAAAATACCCTTCTCACAATTCACAAATGATAGAGAATGAAATCTTGAATAAGAACAAGATAACATTTGATCCATAGAATTAGTAGAAAATCAGATGGGGGGATAGTGAAAGATAGTTGGATGGATCTTTTTGAGTTTTGAGACTCAAAGATCTTACCTATAATTCACCAAACGTAAAACCCCCAAATTACATAATTAAATTTGAAAAAGAAAAACCTAATTTTGAATATAATCAAACTAATCAAAGACTAAAAAGGTTGAAGTGTACATTGGAAACCTAATTCGCAAAGGTAAGGAAACTAAGGAATTCAGATAGTTAGAGTTTGAAATTCCCCTAATTTAAACCCTAATTTCAAGATGTTCTCCACGCAAATCAAAGGTTCGCAAACTGAATTGTAGTGGAAACCCGACTCATAATGTTTAAAATCAAAATAAGGAATTAACATAACTCCAATTGAAAAACCCCTAATTTTAAGTTTAATGAATCGACCCGTATTTTCCTCAAAGAAGTCAAAGGCTGACAAAATTTTCGCATATCTAGAACTCAAATCATAAAATTAAAGAACAGTGTAAACAAAGAAGCAAACCAAATCACATAAAACAAACCAGCGTATATAACTGATGCAAGATAGCATAAAGACGAAACTTGAAAAACATTATTTTTTTTCAAATTAGTGGATACCCACCAAAACCCTAGTTTCGAAAAATCAAACCAAATTTCACCCAAAACGGTTAATTTTCATACAGATGAACTACACCGGAAACCTAATTGAAAGAATTAATAAAGAATGTAAGCAAAAAAGCAGCAAAAGTTAACATAAACCATATTCAATTTAAATTGAAATGTAAAGAGAGGGGAAAGAGAAAGAACCGTTTTCTTCCAGCCCGAAGGTGCAGGGAGTTCCAAGGAAACAACGTCATCGTTTGGACCAGTGCTCGCCATTTTTGAGAACAAAAAAACCCTAAAAAGTTACAAAGACACAAAAAAACCAACCAACTCTATAACTGTTTGTAATCAAGAAAGATAAATGTACTAATCTCTTCACAAATCATAAACTGTAGCAAAAGGAGCGATAAAAGTATAGCTTTCTCTCTCTAAAACTTCGAAAATGATTGATAAACACTCTACCTTCGTGATTCTCTCTTTTTCTCTCTATCTCTCTCTCTCTCTCTCTCCGACTTAGATTTTGTTTCACGAAATTGTAGTTCTTCGAACTGAAATCTCTCTCTTCCGAGAACGGTAAGAAGCATAAATATGTGGGAAAATATGTACTTTTGCCCCTCATCTATAATAAAGTGTATTTTATCGCCCCTGTAGTATAATCATAATTCTTTGAGTCCGATATATTGTTTGTATTTGGGATAATGTCTTAAATGGGTAATATATTTTTCGAATTATTTTTTCACATTTGGTTTTTGAGTTTTTTTTTTTTCATATTTTTCCTTTCAACTTGTTTAACTGTACATAATAAGTCTTTACGACCGGCTATGCCAGATAAATCGGAAAAATGACTTAATATGATAATATATTTCTCACTTTGTACACATTTAGTTCTTAATATATTTTTTTTACATTTAGTCTTTCATATTTTTTTTGTTGCAAAATAAGTTTTTGTTATTATTGTACAAAATCGGGTTCTTTAAGTTTTTCTCACGACATCTTAGGTGGGACAATCATTAATGAGGTGTTTGAGACTGTTAATGTTTATGGTCACCGCAACCTCAACTGTTTGGTTCCTTAGGTCTTGTGTTTCGCTGAGGTCTTGTATTTTGAACGGTGTGAATTCTTCATATGATCTCAGATTCTAACGATCTTTATATCCACGTGTTCGTATTTGAGTCTACTGCAACTTTCATTTCGATCACTCCCGTTAAAAAGTAATATATATTGACTTACTATCTTTATATACATGCATTCTATATGAATATATGTATGAATGTTTTTTTATAAAATCGTAAGTAAAAAATATATTACTTTTTAACAGGAGTAATCTAAGCTGATTGTTTGCTTAGGTATTGTGGTTTGGCTTAATGTCTTGTATTATGAACGTCATAACTTTTGATCTTAAATTTTAACGATCTTTATATTCATACGTCCATATTTAAGTCTACTACAACTTTTGTTTAAATTATTCCCATTAAAAAGTAATATATTTTTACTTATGATCTTTATATACATGCGTTTTTTATGAATGTATGTATGAACGACTTTTTATAAAATCGTAAGTAAAAATATATTACTTTTTAATGGGAGTAATTTAAACGAAAGTTGTAGTAGACTTAAATATGAACGCGTGGATATAATGATTGTTAATATATTTGAGGTTGTATTAAGAAAGTATGACATTTGAGATTATAATATAGAATTTTCTAATTATAAATCACACATCAACCATGTAAATAAAAAAAACATAACTAAAAGAATTTACAATGAGTGTGTTAAATTCATCTAATAGATGACATGATGAGCCCGGTCCACTTTTTGTCCAAAAACCGTCCCAACCGTGGTATTTCTAGTATCACACATGATCTTGAATGGAAGGTACCAATTCGACGGTTAAATGATGGGGGAGGATGTCAACAAGTCCTTCAAACTATCAAATGCACTTTTACATGCATCACTAAACTCAAATTCAACCTCTTTTGTAGAAGTTGGCACATCGGCACTGTGATTTTGGAAAAGTCTTTGATGAACCATCGATAGAAACTTGCATGGCCAAGAAAAGAACGTACTTCCCGAACATTTGTCGGGTACGGTAAACTCTTAATCACATCAATTTTGGCATTGTCTACTTCTAAGCCTTTTGAGACACCACATGTACAAGCATCATGCCTTTGTCAAACATAAAATGACATTTTTCATAATTAATGACTAATTTTGTGTCAATGCACCTTTGTAAGATTTTAGTGAGATTTAGCAAACATTCATCAAAAGAATTTCCATAAAGAGTAAAATAATCCATGAAAACCTATATGATATTCTCAACATATTCTGAAAATATACTCACCATACATGTTTGAAAAGTTACGAGTTCATTGCATAAACCAAAGGGGCTGCATCTATATGAAAAGGTGCCAAAGGGACATGTAAATGTGGTTTTCTCTTGGTCTTCCGGGGCAACTGAAATTTGATAAAAACTAGAAAAACCATCAAGGCAACAATAGTGGGATTTCCCAACCAATCATTCAAGCATTTGATCGATGAATGGCAAAGGGAAATGGTTGTTCATCAAAATGTTTGCTCAAGATGGTGGTTGGCATATCTTGGCTTGATAACTCAAACCAATCATTAGTACATGAATTAATAACATCTATGATGTTTAAGGAATGAATATCACTAGGATAATGCATGGCTTCAAAGATATTGAAATTGATCACCTCACCATGAACTCCCTAAATAAAGTACCATTCGCTACATCTATTTTTGTTTTTACGGTACTCATGAAGGGTCTCCCCAAAATTTTGGAGCTCGATTGTGGGGTGTTGTCATCACCCATGTCCAAGACATAAAAATCAGCAGGGACTATGTAACGCCCGTGTTTCGAGGCTAAGCATTGATGCGTTGATGTAATAGTCTAGGTCAACCACTGTAACCTATTTTAAAGTAATAAAGATGAATTATTTGAACATTATGTGAATTATGTGCTTTTATGTGATTATATACTTATTTATAAAGATATAATAAAATAAGCGTCAAAAATAAAATGTTAGATAAGCCCGATATCGATGAAGAAAGTTGTAGTGGTCGAAACAAGGATTCCGGTGATATAAAGAACGTCGAAATCCGAGTTATAACGAAGAAGTTATGACCTGTCGAAGTTTCGCGACGGAACCAACACGGCGCCGGGAAGCGTAAATAGTAAATTTACGATAGAGCGACTTTTAGCCTTAGCGATCTAAACGAAAGTCGTAGAATATGTTAAACCGAGAGCGTCCATAAAAAGAACGCCCAAATCTGACTTCGTATGAGGAAGTTATGATTTTTCGAAGTTTCGACTTAGCGGTGTACAGCCCTAAGTTCGAATTTTAGATCGATCGATTTTTGGCAAACACAACCTAAATGAGAATTAAATATCTCATTAATAGGAGCTCAACAATAAAAAGACAGATGAAAACGGATTCTGTATGTAGAAGTTGTGAATTCTACACGGTCGTTTAACAGTGTAATCTTCTCATACTGTTAAATTTAAAATCGATCGAGAATTAGCCGATGGGGTCAAAAGGAAAGTTGTAGACCTTGTCCTCACCTACGCGTGGATATAAAGAACGTCAAAAACGGAGCTCGTATGCGGAAGTTATGGGGTTTAGAAGTCGGCAGGGTGCTGCAGCGAAGTGGGTGACGTGGCACAATCTGATGACGAAACATGGCACCAACTCGACGAGTTGGACCAGCAACTCGACGAGTTGGGGGTCAGAAACTCGACGAGTTGGGCCAGAAACTCGATGAGTTCACCCCTTTTTCAGCCTATAAATACCCCCCGAGAGTTACTTCATTTTTTATACCAAAACCCACTTATTCTTCTCACTACTCACTCTCTAAACCTCCCAAAACACCCCAAGAAGCCTAGGAAACCTTTCTATCTCTAGAAGGAAGGTTCGGAGAGCCCGGAGTCTCCGAGAAAAAGAGTTTTTCGGTTCGAAACTCTGCCCGTGTAGAGCCCGGTTTTCAAGCAAACTTCCCGGTTTCGTCAAAGGAGATTATTTTAAGAAGCGGGAGTGCTGTCCGAATCACTCCTTATCAGGTGAGTGCATAGTCACTTTCATCTTACACATAGATATGAAGTATTTTATATAAATTATGTGCTATGTGTCTAAATATATGTTGTCTGTTTACCTGAGATGTTTGCTGGATGAAAGATCTGAACCTCTTTCTTTTTAGATCTGAACTTCTTCCTTTAGATCTAAACATTTTCTTCCAGATCTGAACTTTCTCCTTCAGATCTAGATTTTCCTTCGGATCTAAACTTTTTTTCCTTTTAGATCTAAGACTTTTCTTCAGGTCTGAATGGTATATGTATTTTTTACAGATCTAACCCTTTTCTTTCAGATCTGAACTTTTTCCTTCAGATCTGGACTTTCTCACTGCAGATCTGAACTTTTCAGATCTAAACCTGATATATGGATGATTTATACTTGAGATCTGTACTGGATGAAAGATCTAAACTTCTATCTTTCCAGATCTGACCTTTTCTTCAGATCTAGACTGTATATGTATTTTATGCTTTGAAACTATGATGAAAGATTTAGACTTTGTTTTTCAGATCTAGACCTTTTTCTTCAGATCTGAACCGTATATGTATTTTCTTTACAGATCTAAACTATTTCTTCCGATCTGAACTGTATATGTATTTTATATCTACAAATATGTTGGGTAAAACATGGGTAGATGAAATAGTTGGTGTGTGATGAAAGATGAGTCAGAGGATGAGATAAAAGGTAATATAGATTATGAGATGAGGGTGAAAGGTGAAAAATGAGAGAAACCTTTACCCAAACGATGGCCCCGTCATCTAGCAGAGTACGGATGACAACCATGGACTATTCTAGACAGTCTGTGGAACACTAGCAGGCTCGCTACCTGTAGGTGTTGTGAACAATACGTTCACCCGGTGTACTCTAAAAACCCATTGACATGTATTGCAGGTGGACTCCCGCAAATAATATTGTCGATAAATGAGAGCTATGGACTTAGCACCCGTTGGATGAACCCTGGCAGCTATGGATTTAGTGCCTGTTGTATAAACCTTGGCGACGATGGACTTCGTGCCTATTCTCTAGGAAAACCCTTTGGAATGAGTGATAGATGATTCTTAGGGTAGATCCCTAGGAATTAAAGAAGATAATGGGGATGGGTAATTGGGTTAATTGTTTGATGATAAAACATAATAACTTTACTATTGTGGGCTGAAAACCCTATGTACTCACCAGGTTTCCCAACCTGACCCACTCAGTTTATTTGCATCACAGGTGTCGATATAAAGCTACACTCCACTGAGGGATTAAAGAGATGTAGATCACTAGTGTAAATGAATGTAAGTTCTGTTTATGCTTATGTTTATGTATTGACGTTGACATCCCAAGGTTTTAAAAGGAATAAAACACATTTCTTCGGAAATGCTTTGATAACATATTTATCATGTTTTTCTGGGAACAAAATTCCGCAACACTTTTCTTAAGAAGTTACTCTGATTTTTATTAAAAAGCATAAACTAAATCGGTCTTTTCTGGCCGTAAAAATGGGGATGTCACAG